GGAGTGCGAAGCAGGTCAGCATCAGTGTGAAGTAGGCTGGGAGGAGTATGCAGCAGGTCAGCTCCGTTACCAAGCAGACTGGCAAGTCAGTATCAAGAAGCAGAGAAAACCAATGTGAGAATGACAGCAGAGATGGGAGATAAAAACCGGTGGCAGAGGGTCCCTTCTAAGATCTCTAACAGAGATCTGTTTCTACCTGTTTGAGATAAATTGAGAATCACAGGAAAGCAGATAGCTAGCTGATTGGTGGGCATTTTTTCTGTCTCTCTTTTGATTGGCCAAGTGGTTTAACTCAGGAAAATATTATTACAGCTGAAAGAGTACAGTTGGGAGATTCATTTTTAAAATATTTAAATGTACAAATGTATTACTTAAATAGAATAGAGCTAGTTGGGCAGGTGGTGTGCTGCAGCTGTACTATGTGAGAGCTGGTGAACTCTGATGCAATCCTTGATGACCACATCTGCAGCAAGTGTTGCCTGCTGGAGGAACTTCAGCTCAGAGTTGATGAGTTGGAGTTTGAGCTGCGAACACTGTGATACATCCGGGAGGGGAAGAGTTACCTGGACAGTGTGTTTCAGGACACAGTCAAAACTCTTAAATTAGATTAATTACATCAAATTTGGTTCATAGTCAGAGACAGGTGGATGTGACTGTGACTGAGGCGGGTTTTGGAAGGCTGTAAATAAGAAGCATCCCTCACTATGTCTCTGTGAGTGGAAAAAAAAGACTTCAAGTGTCTGAAAAGAAAGCATTTTACTACAATAAAAGATCTACGTCCACCTGATCAGCTATTTAATCAAAGATTGACAATTGTTCTGCAAGCAATATCATGTCACTAAAAAAAGTCAGAAGAAATGTCAGAAACAACTCATTCTACTCTTGTGGCTTGGACTCTTGAACTATAAAAATCATTTTTCCTCTTCCATATTTTTCCACCCATAGTATTTCTGTTGCAGCATCTGTTTTTGTTTGCCTTCTTTGTGAATGAATGTGTGTTTTGGGGGTTTTAAACAGAACAGTTTAAATTGCATTGTAGTAATGAATAATCTATTTGTGTTTGACATTTTATAAAGAATAAATTTGTTTAGAGTAAATGAGTTATTTTCCTGGTATTGACAAAACCTGATGTGAATTGCTTTTGTTCTGAACAGCAGTCAGTCAGGCAAAATGGTCATTTTGGTGGTCTGATTAGGATTTTATACATTTTGGTGCAACTTGTGGAACAGTGGGGAACGATTATCAGCACACTCTTCCCAGACACAACCATTTCACTCTCCCCTTTTGGTAAGCTGTACCAGAGTAACTAAGCACTGTTCTATGTCAGGAAAGTTATGCTGGGGCCATGACCCAATAGATGCCAGTTGCCGACACACAGTAAGCATAGTGAGTACTGTCTCTGGTTTTAGAATGGGAGCTGTGGCTGCTGGAATAGGTGGTGAGGAATGTGACTGACAGCACAGAGTTATCACCTGGATGAGGTGTTTTCGACCCACTATCTGAAAGTTAATTCTGGGTATCCATTCTGTATCCAGGAAATGCATTACTATCGGTGAGCTGCTAACTATCTCACCATTTTCAGAATGTCCGACTTCTTGGTTTCCAGGACACCTCCCATCATGTCTTTCAGTGCACGTTCCCTCCAGTTGTCAGCCTGGGAACAGAGTAAGGAAACATCATTGATACAGACTTATCTTTTCGTAAACAGTTTAGCTTATATCCTGGTTACAGTCTTGAGGTTTATCAAGGTTTAACTCAAATGGAATTACTAATTGGCACAGGCAGGGAGACAGACAGAAGATGCTACAAATACACTCTTAAGCTTTGAAAGACGTGTTAATATTTCAGTTGCGACTCTTCACAGGATTCTGTGAAAGCTCTCACACCCAATTTTATTATAAACTTATAGACTTATTTATGTTTACAGCACAGATGAGGCCCATTATATCCTTGGCAGTCAACAAAGATCTGACTATATTAATGCCATTTTCCAGCACTTGGCCCATAGCCCTGGAGGTTATGGCAACACAAGTGAATATCTAAATACTCTTTAAATATTTCAAGAGTTTCTGACTCAACCACCTTTTCAGGCAGCGAGTTCCACTCCGGGTGAAAAACTTTCTCCTCTTAGTCTTCCACCTCTTAGCTTAAATAGAGCCATAGAATCATGCATCACGGAACAGACCCTTTGGTCCAAACAGTCCATGCCAAATATAATCCCAAACTAAACTAGTCCCAACTAGTTATCCAGTTTTAAATGTTGTAATTGTACCCACATCCACCACGTCCTCCTCTTCCTCAGAAAGTTAATTCCACATGTGAACCTCTCTCTGTCTAAAAGATTTGCCCCTCATGTCTTTTAAATCTCTCTCCCTTCACCTCAAAAAGTGTCCCCAGTCTTGAAATCCCCCATTCTAGGGAAAAGACAAGTACCATTAACTCTATTTATACCTCTCATTATTTTATGAGCTTCTATCAGGTTGCCTCTCCACCTCCTACACTCCAGTGGAAAAAGTCCCAGTCTATGCAATCTAGTTGTTAACCCCTCCACTAATGGAAAAATGTCCCTTCCTATGCAGAGTCAATAAATGTGGAGCTGAAAAAGCACAGCAGGTCAGACAGCATCTGACGAACAGGGAGGTCCTGACAAAGGGTTCTGGCTCGAAACGTTGACTGTCCTTACTGCCTTCCAATGCAGTTAAAATCTTATACACTTCTTTTAGATCCCCTCTCAAACTTCGCTTTTCGAAGGAAAGCAGACACTGCCAATCCAATTCTTCCTCACAGCTCAGATCCTCCAGCTTAATGAACATACTGGTAAATCTCTACTGCACCTTCTCTAGTGAAATTGCATCTGTCCCTTCTTAGACATTCCTACACTACCAGTAAACTGTGTCCTCTGTGACAACAAGGTGCAGGGCTGGATGAACACAGCAGGCCAAGCAGCATCATAGGAGCAGAGAGGCTGACGTTTCGGGCCTAGACCCTTCATCAGAAAAGGGGGAGGGGAAGGGGGTTTTGAAATAAATAGGGAGAGAGTGGGAGGCGGATAGAAGAGGGATAGAGGAGAGGATAGGTGGAGAGGAAACAAACAGGTCGAAGAGGCGGGGATGGAACCAGGAAAGGTGAGTGTAGGTAGGGAGTTAGGAAGGGGATAGGTCAGTCCAGGGAGGACGGACAGGTCAAGGGGGCGGGATGAGGTTGGTCGGTAGGAGATGGAGGTGCGGCTTGAGGTGGGAGGAGGGGATAGGTGGGAGGAAGAACAGGTTAGGGAGGCAGGGACGAGCTGGACTGGTTTTGGGATGCGGTGGGGGGAGGGGAGATTTTGAAACTTGTGAAATCCACATTGATACCATTGGGCTGCAGGGTTCCCAAGCGGAATATGAGTTGCTGTTCCTGCAACCTTCGGGTGGCATCGTTGTGGCACTGCAGGAGGCCCAGGATGGACATGTCGTCTGAGGAATGGGAGGGGGAGTTGAAATGGTTCGCGACTGGGAGGTGCAGTTGTTTGTTGCGAACCGAGCGTAGGTGTTCTGCAAAGCGGTCCCCGAGTCTCCGCTTGGTTTCCCCGATGTAGAGGAAGCCACACCGGGTACAGCGGATGCAGTATACCACATTGGCAGATGTGCAGGTGAACATCTGCTTGATGTGGAAAGTCTTCTTGGGGCCTGGGATGGGGGTGAGGGAGGAAGTATGGGGGCAGGTGTAGCACTTCCTGCGGTTGCAGGGAAAAGTGCCGGGTGTGGTGGAGCTGGAGGGGAGTGTGGAGCGGACAAGGGAGTCACGGAGAGAGTTGTCCCTCCGGAAAGCAGATAAGGGTGGGGAGGGAAAGATGTCTTTGGTGGTGGGGTCGGATTGCAGATGGCGGAAGTGTCGGAGGATGATGCGTTGGATCCGGAGGTTGGTGGGGTGGTACGTGAGGACGAGGGGGATTCTTTTTTGGTTTTTATTGCGTGGACGGGGTGTGAGGGATGAGGTGCGGGAGATGTGGGAGACACGGTTGAGGGCGTTCTCGACCACCGAGGAGGGGAAGTTACGGTCCTTGAAAAACGAGGACAACTGAGATGTACGGGAGTGGAATGCCTCATCCTGGGAGCAGATGCGGCGGAGGCGAAGGAATTGGGAATAGGGGATGGCATTTTTGCAGGAAGGTGGGTGGGAGGAGGAGTATTCTAGGTAGCTGTGGGAGTCGGTGGGCTTGAAATGAATATCGGTTTCTAGGTGGTTGCCCGATATGGAGACAGAGAGGTCCAGGAAGGGGAGAGAGGTGTTAGAGATGGTCCAGGTAAACTTAAGGTTGGGGTGGAAGGTGTTAGTGAAGTGTATGAACTGTTTCACTTTTAGCTAACGACTGCATTAACAGTACACACTAACCACTAACACCCTATTTCATTAAAAAATAGCTCTTGAAAATTCATGCACCACACATTGGAATTATTATACAGTACACCCACAAAGATGTTTCACCAGTAATGAATAGCCTGTTCTTGTGTCTTGGTGTCAGCTCCTGTATAGGCCATGTCTATCTCAGTGTCAGCTCCTGTATGGCCCATGTGTATCTCAGTGTAAACTCCTGTATGACCCGTGTGTATCTCAGTGTAAACTCCTGTATGGCCCATGTGTATCTCAGTGTAAACTCCTGTATGGCCCGTGTATGTCTCAGTATCAGCTCTGTACAGCTCAAGTGTGTCTCAGTGTCAGATTGTGTTAATTACACATCAACTGAAAGGAAAAGTTCGGCTTTGCAATGGGTAGTAATCAGGGCTGGATCCTAGCTGACTATGATGGATTCTCAGTTTTAAGACACTGAAGCGGCGAAGCTTACTAGTAGGAGCCTGCCTGTTCAAACTACAACCAAACTTCCTCATTACTCTACCCACATCCCACCTTAAACTCACACCCATAATGAGTTAGGAGTTACCTTGGCAGCTAGTAGCCGTAGCTGTTCAGCTTTATACTCTTCCTCCAGCTTACGTTTTTGCTCTGGGGTGAGGTAGCGCTCTGCTGTAACCTGAAGGCAAAGAGACAAACTCATTGGGTGTTGATTGGGGCTCATCAGATTCATTATAAATGTGCACTGGTAAATGACACACAGCAGCTTTGGCAGTGACATTTCAAAACCAGACAGGCCCAAGAACTGTAAGTAAGCAATAGCATCGTGGAATCATATTCAGCATCAGACAGCTGCTACAATCTGTACACAAGACTGATGCCAGCTACTGGAGCAACAACACCATAGGTAGAGGCCATAGCACACCATGGCTCCAGGTCTGTGAAACCCTCAACACCAACACCCCTACCGCCCATACACCCCCGAAAACACCTGCATCTTCAACATGGAGCATGGTGTTCAATCAAAAGCTGAAGAACTGGGAGAAGCCAAGTGGTCCCTCCGACCTGTTTGGCCAGTACATGGATTATTGCTAATCTGTATCATAATGTATCTACCCGTCCTCGTTCCAACTGCCTTAATCCCTGTAACTGATCAATCTCAGTTTTCACATCTTTATCTGAGTCTGGATTCAACAGGTTTTTGGAGGATAAACTTTTAGATTTCCATTCCCCTCTGTGTAAGGAAGTGCTTCTTGAACGACCTAGTTTGAATTTTAAGGTTCTGCCCCTGCGTTCTGGACTCTTCCTCCCAGCCCCCCCACACAGGGTGCTCAGCCCCAAGCAGCACTGGAAACAGTTTCTCTGTGTCTATCTGTTCAGGGGTGCTTGTGATCAAAACATAATTTCAAATTGAAGTTCAAATGGATGGAGAAATGGAAAGACAAGTAAGGCTGAGGCTCCTCAAAAATAACATCTAACAGGTGGCAGGTTTTCTACATGGAAGGGCTTGCAATGAAAAGATTGACTCTGATTTCAATGTACTCTCTGGGAATTATTACAGCCAGCACCGGGGACTGCCCTGACTGGCAGGCACAGTACCATATGAAAAAGCACCAGGGAAGCACAGAGAGAACAATTTGTTAGAAAACGTGATGAAAAGTCAGGATGAGGTGTAGTCCTCCTACAGTCCAGCTATTACCTCAGAATCCTGGACTTCAAACTCTCGCTCAGGCAACTCCTTGTTGCTCATCGTGGGCAGCCAGACCTCTTCATCCATGTCCAGTTGCTGCATGATTTCCACAATCCGCACAGTTCGGTCCTTCACTCGAGCCATCTCCACCTCTTTTTGTTTGTAGGTTGCGTCAAACTCCTTGTTGAAAGTGGTTTTTATGTTGTAAATTACATCCTTAAGATGAGGACAGTAATAATAAAGTCAAATTTCATGTATATCAACAGGAGTGGGATGGTAATAGTGGGTTTAGTGACAAGTTTACTCATACAAAGGGATACTGTAAATACACAATAAACAGAGAGGAAAAATGGAACTCTGTTTGGGGCTTGAACTATTAACATGGCATGTTTTGGATGCAGTAAATCAACACCGCATAGTCCTAAGGAAACGCTGCAATGTAGGTCAGTATTGAGTGTGTGTTGCTCTGTTGCAGAGTCAGTACTGAAGGAGCACTGTCCTGTTGCTGGTTCAGTACTGAGGCGGTGCTGCACTGTTGCAGGATCAGTACTAAGCAGGTATCTCACTGACAACTGGTGACATCCTTTCAATGAGAACTCATTTGAATGTTAGATTCTTGAGATTTCTTTACTTTCTTATTTGGGATACATCACTCCATGTGCCAAAATGTATGTTTGGTTTTCCAGTTCATGCAAATTTGTGGCATGTCAGGGATTGAGTGGAGAATCTTTTTAATTCATTTCAGTTTCTGATTTGATTGCTTGATAACACCTGAACCTCACTGATATCAGAAAGGACAGAGTGAGGCACAGAGAGATTGTGATTTCATTATTGCTGATGATATTTGTTCTGCTTGGCTCATCTCCAATGGCTGTGCAAGATGATTCTGCATTTTCTGCTGTTATTATGAAGGGTGAGGGCTGGAGTATGTTGGGAGAGGCCTGGGCACACAGAAGACAACTGCAAATGTTGATTCTGCAACTATGTTGAAACCACAGCTGCTCATTGGATGCTGTTTCCCTGCTGTATCCCCATTTCTACTGCTTGCTTGATGCCCTAGGTGATGCTGAAACATTGTGAGAACTATAATGTGAGGGTAATTTGCATCACAGCTGAACAAATATGAGGCTGAACAAAATTCCCACAACGTGGTTCGAAGATTCAAAAAACCTATAATGTAAACCTTTGGTTTCTTTTTTGAGTGTTACACTCTTCCTTTGCTTGGCCACTGAGCCTCAAGTTAGTCCTACAACAGAAATAGGGATTGCCATGGGAGGGGAGCTAGGGTTGAACTTCTTTAATAGCTTCTTATATAACAAAGATAATTTCTTTCACATCATGTGCTAAGCACTTGAGCCAGAATGGAAATACTTCGGTGGCTTTCTCTCTCAGAGTGCCCATGTCTGTTACCTTATTCAGGCAGTGTGATTGGCAACCCTATTAACAACCCTGTAATATCTATGTTACAACAAGTATTATAATAAAGGAATACAGGTGGAGTACAGAGACCATGCACGGCAGGAGATTGCAATGTTGTTAATATTGATGATGCAAATATTATGTGCGACAGTTTAATAAATTATTTACATATTTGATGGATTTCAACCTCTGCTCAAGAAGGGAAGTACCTTCCACTAAAATAGATTTATGATAGGAACAGTAGAAGACAGGGAATGCCAAAGGTCATTTGGTCCATCAAGCTGATGCCTTCAAAGATTAAATGCAATCCACCTAGTCTCTTCTTGTCCCTCTTCCTATTCTTATTTAGAAAATGGTAATGACCCATGCATTGGGAAAAAAGCCTAACATTCCTTTTGTGTTATGTTCCTTTAAGACCAAAATGAGCTGAAAGAGGGTTAATTAATTTTCAGATCGTTCCAAGAAATGTCTGTGTGATCTGAGGTTGCCAACCTGCTGTTGAACAGCTAAGAAGCAAAAGGGTAAATAGAAAATTCATGGTAGTGGGCTGGCTCAGTCTGTGTGTTTCTGTGGTTTGTTCAGAACACACAAAAAACATTGTGTAAAGAGGAAATAAGTAAGATTCTCTATGAATGATGCAATTTTTCTGTTTGGCAGTCTTTCAACAGATCCCTGTGTTGAAGTATATATTTGAGAATAGAGCAGAGACTGGGTTATTGTGTATATTATCGAATTAGAGCAAGCAGAAAGTTGAAGACAGGAAGGGCAAGGGACTGTGGATTGGATAAGACACTGCTGCTGTTGAAATGGTGCCAGAGCCCTCCAGCCCATTTCATGAAGTTGCAGAAGAGTGTCCAAGGATTCTATACCAACTGGACTGTCATGTCCCAGGTGAGAGACAATTTATAGACATGCATCTTGTTGATAGTAGCCATTTTTAGGGACTTTGGATGAAATGTGACTGCTGCTGAATGCAACTTAAGGGCTAAAATAAATGAGTGGGAGACATTTAATATAATGGAAGCCGAGTTGGAAAGACTATAGGACTGCACATTGTGCCGCACTTATGCGGGAAGAACTTGTAACTTGTAAGTGCTTGTAATTACCTGAGGCAATTCTTTGTGTTGGATATAAAATAAAATGTACCTCAATTAAGTATCTTTTGCCTGCCAATTAATGTTTGAATTATATTTATTTCAAGTGATTTGTTACAGTCAAAGTTTTAAACATTGAAATCTTGTACAGTGGTTTTCTTTCTATTGGCACCATGGAAATTCTTTTTCTCTTTGGTCTCTGAGGGGATTGGAATAGTAGCAAAGTTAGATAATTCAGTTTGAAGCAGTATTTTGACATGTGGAAAAGGAAAACCGACACTGTAGTAAGATTTTTGTGTTTAAATGTGTTGAACATGGTTTGTTCACCTGTAACAGGACGATCTGATTAATCTTCTCATCCTTTGTGTGCAGCTCTAATTGTTTATACAAGTGACGATTTACCACACCATACTGGCAGGTCAGGCTGCCTTTCAATGCTGCACTCTCTTCCTCTTTTGAGTCTTCATCTTCAGCTTCCTCATCTTCCTTCTCTTCTTTTTTAGGTGGTGTCTCAACGATGTCTTTTCGAGCCTGTAAGTATAGAGAGGATGAAAATCTGTTCTCGCTACATCAAGCTTCAGTCCATTTTTTCCCAATAAGTGTGGACTCTTTGAAACTCAACCCATATTTTCCTTACCTCTTATAGTTTGTGATTGGCTGTGGAGATGGAAATATGACACATTACCAGGAATTATGTACTAATGGCAACCTAGGCACTGTTACAAACTAATGGCTTCAGTGGTCCTTTCATATTTATCAAACCCTACAGAATGAAATATAGATTTTGCTCTCACTCTGCCACTATAACACGACACAACCCAAAAACATAAGCCTACACTCAGTCACTTGGTGACCCAGTAAGTCGGCGCACCTATGTACTGTATCACCATGACACCAATGTGTCTCCACTGGCTGGGAATTCTATGGCAAATTAGTCATAACTCCTCAAAGCCTGTCCACAATCTACAAGGAACATATCGGGAGTGTAATGGAATACTCTCCTCTTGCCTGGAAAGTATGGCTCCAATACTGCCAAAATTTTGATACCATTCAGGAAAATCAACCCACTTGTTTTGCAGTCCAGCCACTATCTTCAAAAATCAGTCACTTCACCACCAAACACAATGGCAGTGATGTGTACAATCTATAAAATGCACGAGGCACCTCCTTCCAAACCCATGACTGCAAACATCTAGAAGGACAAAGGCAGCAGATATTTGGAACACCGCCACTTGCATGTTTTTCTCAATGACATCATCTTGGCTTGGAAATGTATCACTGTTCCTTCAGTGTCACTGGGTCAAGATCTTGGAATTCCCTCCCTAATAGCATTGTGGGTCTACCTACACACCAAGGATTGCAGCGGTTCAAGGACTCATATCACCACTACCTTCTCCAGGGAAATTAGGGCTGGAGTCTTGATGCAAGGCCTGCAGCAATGGTCACATTCCATTAAAGAATGAAAAAGTTAAAAAGAATCGAGTCTTCATGTTTAAAAGTAACACTTCTGTATCTCTATTCCTAAACTCATTCTTCATATGGTTACATTCTAAGGCACAGATCAACTGTTGGGATGTCTCCAAACATTTTGTAAGCGTTAAGTCTGAGGTTGAGGACCTCTATGCTAACTGTTTACTAATATAAATTAACATGTTATAACACTCTGAATGCACTGAGATGTATTACTTTCAGCTATCTCCACAGTCGGTTAAATGTCATGGTAGTATGGATGTATTCAGAAAGAGTACCTTCAGGTCAATCAATTCAATTGTTCTCTGTTGCATGATCTTTTTGAGAAGCTCCAGCTCATCATTGCTGCGCTCCCTCATTGGGTAATTAGACACTGCCAGTCCTGAAAAGAAAGCCTGAAGAGTGTACAAAGAAAAAGAAAATCAGAGATGCAACAAAAGGCTGCCTCATCCTGTTACCCTAACACTCCCTCCCTTCCTGAACGTGAATCCTGATTCTACAGTTTTTAAGAGGATTAACTTTTATGCAGAATTTCTAATCAGTACCTCCAGCGTTCGTCCTTTCACAGCCATGTTGTCCCAGCATTCTTTTTTAATCACTTCACGTAGGTATTGGTTGGCTAGGTTTTCCGTCTCAATTGTCTCACGAACCTGTTGAATTAAACTTCATTCAGTAAGCAGGTCCCCAGAAATGCTGATTAACATAGAGAATTGATGACGTACAAATTACACAGGTCCAGTATAACTCTTCTTCAGAACTCCAAGTTCAAATATTTCAAAATTGTAATTTTCTGTTAGAACATAATGTGTTAGTAGATGAAAATAGTTCTCTCATGTAGCAAATGAATACTCAGCTCCTATGCATAAAATGCCCTTTATGCAAAGAGATTTATAAGATGAGGTGAGGAGTTAGAAATGATTAAAATAAAAAAATTGATGACACAGTCAGTCTTTGCAAAGACCACTAACTGGGGTAGAATTTCCTGAGATAATAACCCACTGTTATACGGGAAGCCTGTCTGGTTTCAATAAGAAATGTATCAAACTGAATGATGTTATCATCAAATATGACCTGTAGGAAATAAAAACCGTAAGAACTGCAGATGCTGAAAATCAGGAACAAAAACAAAGTTGCTGGAAAAGCCCAGCAGGTCTGGCAGCATCTGTGAAGGAAAAAGTAAAGTTAATGTTTCGGGTCTAGTGACCCTTCCTCAGAACTGTTATGACCTGTAGGAATGTCTGAGACCTAATGGAATGAGGAAACAGATGATAGATGCAGTAGTTGAGGGTTAACTGGGTTTGAATTGGTTATGTAATTATGGGAAGCTAATAATCAATAGGGTTGAGTTCTTGTGGCACACTGGCAGTGTCCCTTCCTCTGATCCAGGGAATCTGGAATCAAGTCCCACCTGCTCCTGAGGTATGTAATAGCATCTCTGAACATGGTGATTAGAAAATAATTTCAAAATGTAATCAGTAGGGTCACATAATTTGATTAATTGAAAACACAGGTGATTTAGCAGTGGTGGATAATAGGTGAAAAGTACCAGGGTGATTTGGTGATGGGAAAAAATGTCATTTGGTTGTGTGTGATAACACTTCCAGGTATAAATAGAAAAAGAAAAAGTAATCAGAGATAACAAGGTATAGAGCTGGATGAACACAGCAGGCCAAGCAGCATCAGAGGAGCAAGAAGGCTGACGTTTCAGGCCTAGACCCTTCTTCAGAAAATCTGACCTGAAGGTTAGTGTGCTA